TGTCGAACTTGCCCATCCCTGTCAATCCTGTGACCAAGGGGGTGGGAGTGATCCTTGCTGTAAAAATGTGTTCCCTTTTTTGAGCTACTCCATCCATAAGTATAGGTGAAGTTCATCATCTTCTTTTTACTTCTAGTCAAGTTCTGATCATCCAACCATTGAAGCCAGGTCAAGTGGGTACTATCTGCAAGTATGGGTGTTCTTGTGCATCTCCCCTCACTTCATATCAGCTGGACGCTTCACTCTCTGCTCTGGTCCTCTGTGGCCATGTCACTGCCTCTGGGCCCAGCAGTCCCTAGGTCTTGCTGTACTGCTGGCCATCCAAGTCTCCACCTGGGTTCACAGGGGTCTATTGAATGTGGTCGGACTTAGATCCCAACTTCATTGTTGTTTTGTCCCCTCTTCCCTTTATCAGTGACCAATGTGGTCACCAGCCAAACGACCTGCCTGCTCGTGTATTCCCCTTGAGTCTTAGTCTTGGAAGGGAGTTTGCTTTGAGGGGACCCAACCACTTGCCTTGATGGCTCCCAGGCAAACAGCGTACTTGTTCTTGTGGTAATCAATCAGACGCCATTATTGTTTCGGATTTTTCCTGCTGGTGTTTCTTTCACAAAGTATCTTCTGTTCATCTAGCTGCTCCAGGCTGGTCTGCTCGTCCTTTCCAGTGGAAATTTCCTACCTCAGACAATTCCGGATGGGGTTCTGGTTTCCACCTATGGTCTTATGCAATGCAAAAGCTCCACTGGAGGTCTCTTTCACTGGGCAACTTCTAGCCCCCTTTAAAATATTACAATCAGTTATAGACTGAAGACAGACTTACAAGCTTTCTATTGTGATGTTTCTGGCTATTCCTCCCCACCCATCCATCCCCAAATGTCTATTTCACAGTGGTAGGCAAGGGAAACCAAGATTCAAAAGATTGCCAAGCATCTTAACATTATTTCCCTCTTTGACCCATTCAAACCAGGCCTCAGTCCCTGTATTCCGAAGCCTGTTGTTCCAAGGTTTTGCATACATCATCATTTACCTGTGTCCTACTTAGCCCATGCAAACCTGCCTAACTGTTCTCCCATCCGCCTTAGTTTTCCATTCCCCTCCCCCTTCTTGTGTATTGCCCAGCACCCCACCCCCCAGCACCCAAGCTATCCTATATCTATTCCCTACCCTGTGCTCTATCTTTCCCTCACTCCCTCCCCTCCTCTCATCCCATACATCCTGGTGATCAGAAATTATATACAGAATGTTCCCCCCCTTTTTAGGTGGGTTCTTTTTCTTAGTCTTTTACAATAATGGTCCTATGTCGTATTTCTCCTTTTGTGTCTGACTAATTTCACTCAGCATAATGTCCTCAAGGTTCATCCATGTTATGCGGTGGCTTGCACCTTCCTTACTGTTATTCAAGGTAGCACAGTATTTGATTGTGTGTATGTTCCACAGTTTGTTTATCCATTCTTCAATTGATGGGCATTTAGGCTGTCTCCATCTTTGTGCTATTGTAGATAGTGCTGCTAAGAACATTGGTGTGTGTATATAGCTACTCGTGTTGTGGCTCGTATTTCTTGTGGGTAAATACCAAGTCAAGGAATCACTGTTTCATAAGGTATTTCTATTTCCAACCTTCTGAGGAAGCACCCTATTGCTTTTCAGAGTGGTTGGACCATTTTGCAATTCCACCAGCAATGCAGGAGTGTCCCAGTCTCTCCGCATCCTCCCCAGCATTTATTGTCGTCTACTTTTTTTGATCTTTGCTGTTATTGCTAGTGTGAGATGATATCTCATTTTTGTTTTGATTTGTATCTCTCTGATGGCTAGTGATCGTGTACATTTCTTCATATGTTTGTTGGCTGCCTGGATCTCCTTGGTGAAGTGTCTGTTCAT